GATTTCGTTCTTTTCTGAAAATCGCATCTTTACTCCATTTCGCAAAAAAAAAAATTCAAGATCGCAGTTTGTAAAAGCCGAAACCTTGCGGAACCTAGCCTAGATCTCGTTTATAGTACTCTTCTGACATGTCCTACTCATAATAGATCAACAGATAATAATAATGAAAATTAAAAAAAAGGAAGTAGTCCTCTTTTATTTTTTTATTTTATTTGTTTTATCTGTTGATTAGGGCCGGAGGAAAGTATTGTTGGGTTGGTTTCCTACCTGCGTTTTCCCTCCCACCCACCCTTTGCATGCATTTCCGGGTTGGTACAGTGCCACATCAGACACATTGACAACGTCAGCTACAGTGACACGTCAGCAGGCCACGTCAGCTACAGTGACACGTCAGCAGTGCCACGTCAGACACAGTGCCAGGTCAGCAGTGCCACGTCAGCAACATGACGGGCCTGCCAGGCCAACTGGCCAATGAGCCCATTGCCGACTACAAAAAGCGCTTCCAGGCTCAGCTCGCTTTCATCGAGGCTGAGGAACAACGCCAGCTGGCAGCCAAGGCTGCCCAGCTACAGGCTGAAGAAGCGGCAGCAGCAGAGAAGCTCCGGCTACAGGCCGAAGCAGACGCAGATGCCCAGGCTCGCCGCAAGGAAGCCCAGGATCTGTTGCAGCGGCATGAAGCCAACAGCATCGACAGACTCGAGTTCTGGCACTTTGAACCGAACGGCGACGAGGCAACACCGGAAAAGCAGCATAAGGAGTTCCTCTCCAAACACGTGACACGGTTGTTGTATGCTTGCAACTACCAACGGTCCGAGTTGGAGAAACAGAACCAGGAACTGCAACAGCTGTTCCAGGATCTGAAGCAACAGCACCAGGAGTTGGCGAACCTCCGCCAGATGGTTCAGAGCCATGAGGATGCGACACGGGCACTCAATGCCCGTGTACTGGAACTGGAACAGGCAGTACCAGGACCAGATGCTGGTGCCTCCAGCAGTGCACCCTCTAGCCGCCAACTGGAGGAACGCGTTGACCACGTAGTGGCAATGCTCGGCGACATCAGCACCTTCGCTGCGCCGACCACCATCAGCAGTCAGCTGGATGCATTGAAGACCGAGGTCCAGCAACTGCAGTCGACGAACACGGATGGCAATCCAAAGCAATACAAGATGCCAACTTTTCAACTTGACAGGTTCGACGACTACACGCATTAGGACCCGGTGCTCTGGTGGGAAGCATTCACGAGGCAACTTCGGATTCTGCCTGTCGCCAAACACGTGTACATCGGCGCCTTGTTCATGAACTCAAAGGGCAGATGCCAGATCTGGTTGACTCACCTGGCAGCCACCCACGGCGTCGACGTCGCGGACCTGAAGGACAAGATCGAATGGGAAGAGTTGACACAGTTGTGGAAGAAGCGGTTCATCGTCGACGACGCACCAACTCTAGCAATCAACCGTCTCTTCACCATGTCTCAGGGCAACACAGCAACACGAGACTGGCTCACGGAATGGCAGAAGATCGCGGCAGTGCCCGGTCTGGACTTACCATTCACGCATCTACCCCGTGAGTTCTACAACAGGTCATGTGCTTCACTGAGCCTGGCACTTGGTGATCGCGAGCAATATGCATCTTTCGCCGAAATCATCGACAAGGCAAGAGAGATCATCAAGACCAACAGGGCGGCTGCACATGAGAAGTCCACGTGGCAGCCAACCTATGTGGAGAAGGTACGAACTGGTCCGTGACAGCAGCAGTTCGCTGCAGTGCAATCGGACAATGGAGAAGACCCAGCAGCCACTCCAGCATCACGTAAGGGAGATCAGGTGGCTGCTGTCCAGCCGCGAAGCAACAAGCCCCGAGTAACCGGGAAGGCGAAACCAGCATCGCAGGCCGGAAATGGACAGCCAGCACCACCATGGGTCAAGTTCGTCTTGACCGAGGCCGAGTACAAGTACCGCAACCGTTACGGCTGCTGTTACTGGTGCAACAACACCAAGCACAAAACCTCCATTTGCCAGGATCAGGCCAAGGAGGATGCGCGGCCTCGTCTTAACTCGGGAAACTGAGTTGCGCAGGAGGTGAGGCGACTCCACCTCTCACTCCGCCAGATTCGGCCGCCTTGCTAGCGGCCTCCTACACATCTGGAGAGGATGCGCATGTCGCAAGTCCTCGGTAAACTTACGAGGATTATGCTGTCCACTTGGTCCCACAGCTGGACCAACCGCTCCACGTGCAACACTCTACCGCATGCACGGTTTCATCACCATCGGCAACCGATTCCGCAGCTTCGCCGTCATCTACCGCCGGGGATTCAACGTCATGGTCAAGTCTTGAAGAACTCGACCCGTTGACTTTTGAGGACTTCCAATGGATGCCCCTTCCCCGGTCCGGTCGATTGCCGAAACCGCATTGCAACGTGCTCAAGGCACAATTGCGGGATTACTTGCACACTGCAGTACCAACTCCGTTGATGGACGTCGGAGTAGAGGTTGTCGACCTTCACGCCTACATTGCGAAGATCGACCGCGAGTTCAAGACGCAACGGTACGACGACATCGACGCACCATTGCTATATGTACGCATTCAGATCGGAGAGGCGACCTGCAGCGCTTTGATCGATTGCGGAGCATCTCGCAACTACATGAGTCAGGACTTCATGGTACACGCCTGCCTTGGCCCACGAGTCCGAAGGAAGTCCCAGCCCACGCAAGTCACGTTGGCGGACGGTCACACGCACAAGTCAATCGACCGGTGCATTGATGACGTCCCAGTGTACTTTGCCCCTCACGCAAGTGAGGGAGGGTCCTTTGACATTCTGGACACCAAATTCGACATGATCTTGGGCATGTCATGGCTGCGAAGCGAGGA